CCCCCCCCCCTCCCTCCTTCCGCCTCCGGTATCAATTTTGTACATGGATTTCATATGTAACACTCACCCGGACCTAACATAACGCCCGGTCTGGATTTAACGATACCCGGCCCAAATTTGTTGTGGGACCTTGCACACTTAACCCCATGGGGAAGGTAAATGGATGATCAAACTTTAACAAATTAGCCACCAACAAAATTAGATTTACATTAAATTCTGAAAATCCACGATTTTTTTTTTAAAATCCGAGATTTTTTTGCGTTTCAATGTATACGAAGAGAAAATGTTCACAATTAAAATAAAAGATGGGCGCAAAGCTCCCTGAAAGCTTAGTATAAATATGTATTATTTAATAATAATATAAAAGCGATATTTTCTTTACGATTTCGAATAAAATGAATAAAGATACAAATAAAACCAATATATATATTCTATGTATAAACTATATATACTAAAAAATAAAATACTAAAATAGATATGATGGTACTGAAATAGAGAATATACCTGTGAACCAAAGTATGCACGGTGCTCTCACGCACAATTTTGCAGATTACTCCTTTTAACTGAATCTGGAAACAAGCACGTGACAGTTTAAAATCTGCAAGCCAGGGCTACAAAAAAGTATAAGTGGATTGGTGAAGCATAACCAAAGGCCGTTGGAACACTTCAAATTCGACCCGGTCTTAAAAATTGATCCATAACTTTCATAGTCGTGTAAATCTCTGTGCCTTCTTTAAAAAGAGGAGAAGCCTGCCTGAAGGATGAGATAAAAAACATGGAAAGCACTAATTTTTGTTTCCTAAAAAGTTCATGAAAGTCGTTTCTGGGAAGGCATTAATTTTTTTCTTTGAAGTAAGATGAGGAAAGAGTCGAGGTTGCGGGAATAAGGATCATGTTTTGTTTGTTTTTTACTACATTAAGTTTATACTTAGCAAGGGTCATTTGAAAACATATAAACCATCATCGAAAGGGACTTTCGTATATATTGTAAAAACACGCAGCTTCAATGAGAAAATTTGTCTAAAAAAATAGATTATCAATGTCGAGAAAATTAATGTTATTTTTTCCAGCTTCCCCTGTTACAACAACCCCCGGCCCCCCCCCCCCAAGTTACGCCTCTGATACCGGATGTAAAAATCAAAAATGGGCCAAAATCAGTAAACTATCAGGGAGATTTCCGATTTAAAACCCCAATTTTTCTAAGAACGGATCCAGGATCCAGATCTGCTTTTTTCCTATCTATGTCATCAGTCAATATTATTGGGTTGAAATATATTTTCGTTTTTTTAATAATATAAAATTTAAAGAAAAACTTAGATTTTTTTAGTTAAAACGCCAAAACTCATATAATGAACAATAAAAATAAGTCGAACCATGATCTTAAGACCAAGGTTTTTTTAATGAATATCATTTGTATCCATGGCAATCTTTTATTAAAAATGAAAATATGTATAACTCATAACACAAAAACTAAAGAATCAAAAATAAATGCAAAAAATGCATACAAAAATTAATCATTTGATGCCAAGAAGAGCAAATAGGCTAGAAATTTGTGACGACAAACACATTGCAGGGGAGGGAGAAGTTAGGCCGTTAACCTCTATACAACAACAACACTAAGTGTAGGACGTTCAACCCATCATGATACGACTAGCATGACTAGAGAGTATATAATACTCACGGCTCCCCGGCATTTGTATATTCATTAGAATCTACATTTTTATTCAATACCTTGACTATTTTTGAAAAATATGCAGATGAAAGAAATTGGCTAATTAAGAATTTTAGAAACTAAATAGATTTTTTTCTTTAAGTTTGGTTCGACAGGATTTTTTAACCATAGAATAAGTTTTTTTCAAAGGCGCAGGTTGGGAGGGGGGGGGAGGCTAGAGACGGGTAAATGTTTCCTTTTATCTCTTTTTTTCCTTTTTTTCCTTATATATATATATCTCTCGTTAGGAAGAAATTTAAATGTCTGGTGAGACTTTGTAGCCTCATAACTCAATTACTATTATTTTACATCAATTTACATATATATTGTGTAAATTCATAGATACGATGATATTGTGCTTTAAAGATTTTGATAAATAATTTCATAATAAATATAATAAGATATCAATTAGATATACGATTTCAACTACTGATGCACTTTTGAAAAATCTTAAAGTGGATTTAACGGTTCTGTCAATATTTCAGAAAGCTGTGACTTTCGAATACAATTTGACCTCCTAACATAATTTTATAGCCTTTTTTCTTAAATAATTTTTTGTTGGCATATACATTTTGAATGAAAAAGTAGAAAATAAACAAATCCGTAAGTTTAAAGATTGTAGAAATATAGAGGAAAACACGTTTGATTTCAAATAAAAGAAACCGAATGCTTCTCTCTCTGGTTAGTTTGGGGTGGGATTTACAGGCGCAAACCTGAAAAAAAACGATAAAATCTCTACGATTAATCAAAAACTTTTTCGGAGATCATGCTACTCTTAATTAATTTTTTTCTTAACAAGAATTTGATTTTACATCAGTAAAAACAACCCGTCTACGTGGTTCACATGTTTTGTATCTGACAAATTGTCGGTATTAATCCTTTTTTATACAAGCAAAATTGTCTTAAATATTCTAAGATACAAAAACGGAAGATCATTCTTGATATGCTGAGGAGTCGTAATTTTTTTACATGCATTAAATATGGAATTAATTGAAAATCCTATAAGATTATAATATCATTACTACTCAATTCCCATTTTCTATGGCTTTGCACAGTGCAGTTTTTCTTGAACCTCTGAGCTGGGAACTTTTGAATGGTGGATATCGGGATTAATGCTTGATCCACTCTTTTTCTTAATCTCGAGATTAAATAATACTTGTTCTTCTCTTGTTATTAATCTCCAGATTAATTAACTGATCTGGATTAAAGATATCCCATTCTAAAGTTTTCAGCTCAGCATTCATAACTATGAATTTTAAACAAATGGATGTATTTAAATCAGACTTTTGTCATTGAAATTTGATTATTTGGTTTAAATAATCAAGTAATCAAATAGCTGAAGATATCCCGAGTTATTTTGTGTTTGAATTTTTATTTACATATTTACTCATACAGTTTTTTAAAACATAATTGTAAAACTTTAAACATTACAGGAGTTATGTCGGAAGGGGTGAGAGGGGTTGGCGCCCCGCCCACGGTTAAGCATCTACATGAAATGAGTCTCTACCACGATTTTAAGCTCAAGCGGAGGAAGGTAGACTCTCGCTGCAGTAGTGATGGTAAGTAATAAGTCTTTAAAATATAGATCAGTATGTTTCGTTCTTTTAGTCACATTCGAAATTAAAAATAAGTTCGAAAAAATCGGTAACTTATCAAAATGGCTCATTTCATCACTAAATGTTTGACATGACCGTAGTCGATTTATATTATGTAGAGATTTAGACAATTACTGAGCCAGAAATAAATTGCGTCACTGTCACAAACTCTGATTTTCTATCTTTGCAACCAAACGTCGTAGACCTTAGATATTTCAAACTTTGAATTCTGTTAGGTCAAATAATCTAAGTATGAAATATCGAAGGTTTACATCTTCCGGTTGCAAACATATAGTCATTAAAAAAAAATAGTTTGTGACGAAGACTCAATTTCTTAAAGAATGAAACTCAAAAGTTTCCTTTTTGGTGGTCTATTTGTGTAGATATCAATGTTAGAATTAGAAAATGATAAGACTAATCATATAAAATAATATTTTAAAACAAAGGAATTGAGTCTTTGTCACAAACTCTGATTTTTTAAACCCTATATTTTTAGAACCCAATTTCGTAAACCTTAGATATTTCAAACTATGAATTGTGTTAGTTCAAGTGATCTTAGTTTGAAATATAAAAGATTTATAATATTAGATTGGCAAGATATGAGCATTGGAAAATTTGAGTTTGTGACAAAAACTCAATTCCTTTACAAATATAGACTTAACCCATTCACGAAGGCTATGTTCTGACACCGGGTTTCACGACTATACCCTGTTCAAAATTTCAAACTCTGATGGTCTGAATATTTACAACAAGAATTCATTAACACATATTTCTTCTCTAATCAAACAAAACATTGTACGATTAATATTTCTTTATAAAAAACTGTTATTAATTACTAATACTTTTTTGGGGTATTTTTAAAATCTAGATTTATTGTATTTATTTCAATTAACTTTATCAGCTAGGAATTTATAACCAATGCAACCCCGTGTGCACCCAAATCTTACCATAAGAAAGTAATTTTTTGATGCAGAGTTAATTCTGGTACGTCTTTTAAACCTCTCCACTTTTTTAGTTTTTATTTCACATCGGCACTAGACTTTTTATCAAATGTTGAAAGATTGACGTTATATGTAAAATACGAAATACTTGTAAGGGCATCGTATATATGTAATCTCGAAAAAATGTACAACATAGATGTAATATTACTGGATAATAGCTCTAATACTGATTTAGGTGAAAACTTTGCTGAGCTAACTAAACTATCTCCTGATCCAAGGGACGTCAGCTGCCAATCAAAGGCCGATGACACAACAGATACAAGGTCTGTTAATCTATTTTTTTTGGTCTTCATTGTTATTTACATTATTTGACAAGTATTGTTAATCAGTTATTACTATGAAGTATTAATCAACTAATTAACTAAAATAAAGCCCTATTCTTTACCTTAGCAAAACTTAGATTTTTTATTCAGGAAAGATTGTCTCTATAAAGGCAAAAACTATAATAAAAAAATACGGATGGTTTTACAAATTCTGTCGAATTAAAAAATATTGAGGTGACAGAAAACTTATCCAAGTTCAACTTTTATAAGCTCCCACCCAATCCTTCTTCCTGGTTTTAAAGGTTATAACTTTTATTTTTAGTTTTGTGGCGTCTCCTGTGCCTATTATGAGACTTAAACGTGAGTGCGATGAGTCGGAGATTGAAGAGGAGAGGGAGGCGGAGAAGAGAGTTGAAGTAAAAGAAGGAACAATCGGACATAGACTTCCCCCTGTAGTTGTAAAACAAGAGTTCTCTGGACTTGAACTTAAATCTCAGTGTGATAGTTCAACCAGTTTAAGCATATCCAAGACAAATGATCTTGATATGAGGAAGGAATTTGTATTTTCAAGAGAAACTAGCAGTGCTATAGTTGAAGTGAGACCTATGAATTCTGTTCATTCTCAAAATTTTGATGAATCTCGAGTTTCCGGAAGTACATCAAATGAAAGCACTAAACCAAGTTTTAATCCTTCTTTTTATAACTCAAAATTATACAACACTTTATCTAAGCCAAAGTCAGATGTACAACCTCCAGCTTCCAGACCTTCCGTTCAAATCACTTTGCAAAGAGGAGGAGCTGCCGCCTTTAATACTTTCCCCCGACCTGCTGAAAACATATATGAGAATATGCGGTCCAGTAATACAATAACCAGCATAAAATCTGAATACTCTCCAGCTCAGATAATACCTCAAAGCAGTGGAATGTCAGTGTTTAAAGGTGGATACTCACATTCCTCCCAAGCCTCCTCTCCTGGATCTCCAGCTCACCATCTAAAATCTCATTCTCAGCCCAACTCTATTTTGTCCCATATGTCGGAAGAATTTGAGGATCAAAAACCAAATTTTATCTCAGCAATGCAGAAACTAATTGCTAAAAACCAACAACAGTATTCAGACGGAAGAACTCCATCTCCAGGCTTTCATCGCTTCCCTCTACACCTTCCCCAATCCTCCACCAACATACAGTCTCCCCACTCACAAAGTCCAGTGCCAACGTTAAGAGGAGAGCCTTTTACCATGTCTCCATATAAAAATATGCTACACAATTCCGACCATCGAGGTCAAATGTTAAACCCTACAGGGAATAATACACGCTCATTAAATCACACCAGCCTAAACCAACCTAAGAGACCTGAAAACCCAAGTAGTTCTGGACTTCCAGGAACAAGCGTAATGTTTAGTAAATCTGGAGGAGTTAGAACAATGGTATGGAGTCCATCACCAGCTCATAGTCCAATAGACTCACCAGTCCCTCAAAACTTCGGGTTGCCGGATACTACTAGACTGAGCACTGATAGTGAACACGATATGCAGGCTGTGAAAGGTTTGGTTGAGCTGTGTCAGGTTGGAGGTCCTAGGCCACAACAACCTCAACTATACCACCATCAGGATATGTTTAATGCTATGGCCCCAACGTCTGAATTAAGGCATATCCTGCCGCCCAGTTTTAACAATGTACCTGGAGATTTCACACGTCTGCGTCCAAACCTTTCTTCTGGTTTACGGCTGGATAGACCGCATGTTGATATGGCTGAATTATGGAAAGGAAACTTAGACCAACTTCCTGCACAAGCTCAGCCAAGTGGGTCTATCTTTAACAGGGATAGTGGAGAACCTGGAAACCGTATTCTAGATGAGGATGATCAACCAATGATTTGTATGATATGTGACGACAAGGCGACTGGTCTACACTATGGCATTATAACATGTGAAGGATGTAAAGGATTCTTTAAAAGAACAGTTCAAAACAAGAGGGTTTACACTTGTGTGGCGGATGGGAATTGTGAGATTAATAAAGCGCAACGGAATCGGTGTCAATACTGTAGGTTTCAAAAATGTTTGGAAAGAGGAATGGTGTTAGCAGGTAGGTTATTAATCTTGTTTTTCCCTTTTTTAATAGCAAATAGTTTTTTAATAGCAAATAGTTTTTAAATAGCAAATAGTTTTTTTAATAGCAAATAGTTTTTTAATAGCAAATAGTTTTTTAATAACAAATAGTTTTTTAATAGCAAATAGTTTTTGAATCAATTTTGTTTCTTAGCTGTGAGAGAGGATCGAATGCCGGGAGGACGTAACTCTGGAGCTGTTTACAATATGTATAAGGTTAGATTTCGTTTTCATATAAATAAAATCAAAATATTAGATGATTGGTTTTATTTTTAGGTAAAGTACAAAAAGCAAAAAAAGCACCCTAAACCACAGATGGGACAATTTAATGTGATGTCAAAACCTTCCATGAAGAATATCGAGTTTGAACAGATGGATAGTCCAAAATCACTCCTTAACTTACGGGAAGAACAGAAAACAGCTTCTTTTCAATCGACGAGCCTTTCCTCTCCAAGCTCTCCGCATCCTGACACCATTTCTCCGTCTATAAATATTCTTAAAGCAGTTCTTACTGGATCTCAAGAGGTCAGCAACAAAAATTTTATTTTTTATTTGTATTTAGAAATTTTTAAAACATTCATCATTTTTTCTTCTTTTTGAACAGGGTTTGCCGCAATATCGACAGTTCGATAGAGCGAGACGAAGGGAACGTTATGAAGACAGCCTCCGTCTTATTCAGGAGTTAATAGACTGTGATGATTTTGAGGATATTTCAACCTTTAGGGTAAGTTTATCTTTATCTAAGTTATTAAATACCTCTTTCACATTTTCAGAAGATGATTGAGAATTTGTTATTAAACATATATTGTTCAGGACGTGAATGACCTTCTTGATCACAGCAACGCTGAACTCTCGGACAGATTAAGTAGGATTGGAGACAATATAGTTGTAAAGTTGGTTCAATGGACCCGGAGATTACCTTTCTACGAGGATATTCCTGTAAATATTCACACCAGTTTGCTCACTAACAAGTGGCATGAACTTCTTGTCCTCACCACATCGTCCTATCAGGCTATAAACGGTAGCCGGAGAATGGGAACCACGAGATCAGACGGAGAAACTGCAGAGCTCCATCAGGAGGTCAGACTTTATGCATTCGAGTTTAAAACTAAAGAATTTACTAAAATACATGAGCTCAGACAATGGTCTATCAGATTATTTATCAAAAATTTCATACATTTTTGTCAAAAATGAAATTACCAAAAATATTTCCCTATTTACCCCTTTTTTTGACTCACCCTGTATATAAACTAAACAATCCCTTAAAGATTACTATTTTCAAAAGTTAAACTTATTAATTGTCTCAGGTTGCTACCAACCTGGTAACTCTGCAAACCTGCTTAACATCAATGATGGGTCGCCCAATCACTATGGATCAACTCAGACAGGATGTTGGAAACATGGTGGAAAAAGTGACAAAGGTCATCACTTCACTCAGAAATTTCCGGCTAACAATAGAAGAATATGTCTGCCTCAAAGTTGTTGCAATGCTTACAGAAGACGGTAGGTTCCCCTTCAGATTTAAAACAACTAAACCTGCAAATTGAAAAATGTGAAGAAAAAAACGTATGAAAAGAATTGAGGTTTTGTCTCAAACTCAGATTTTCTAATCCCTATATTTGTAACACAATGTCGTGTAAAACTTTGAAATATCAAAAGACTTTCAGTTTGCTAAGATATTGGGATTAAAAATAATTCAGTTTGTGCCAAAGATTCAATTCCTTATTGTAAATTAAATTGTAGAAAATTTTCTACTAGTTGATAATAATATAAGAGATAAAACTTCGAGATTCTAATTTTCTCATCAGTGTAGAATGTTAGTAAGATATATATTCTTTGTTTAAGAAATTATCAGTATTAGCACACATATTTTTTTCTCCCTCTGCGCCAAATTCTTAATGGCTAAACTTAGTGCAATTTATTTTTTGTCAGAAAGCTTTTTTATCTCAGGTAGTAATCAAGAAATTGTATATTTACTTTTACAGGATTAGTTCAACATTCTGAACTAGAAGAGATCCACGACAGATACATGAATTGTTTGAAAATTTACACGGAATGGAATTTTCCGACCCAGCCTAACAGAGTCCAAGAGCTATTAGTCAAGCTTCCAGAGGTATGTGATAACCCTTGATATGTGTTTTTAATTTCACATTATCAAAGAAAACATTGATAATCATTATTCTTTGTTTTAGGTTCAAGAGGCTGCAGGACTTCTTCTGGTAAGTAAAATTTTGATCTGATTTTTTCTTTAGATTGCAAGGGGGGGGAGTCACTCTTTAACTTTGTATGAATTATTTTGAAGAATAAATGTATTTTGTTTAGGCAAGCAAGATGTTTTACGTTCCGTTTCTCTTGAACTCTACTATTAGTTCTTCCAGTGTCTGAGATATGGTTACCATCAATCTTTGAGAACCTGATTAATATTTTCTACTTACTTAACTTTCTTTAATCTTTGTATCTAGCCAGTTCTTACATAAACCAGTCAAGCAACCCAGTCCAGTTTTGGATTAAATTATTTGAATCTCTTAGGATCTATCATACTCTTCAAAATAAAACGTTCATGACGTATATATATTTACAAAATGGTTCTACTTATTTATACATGATGCATTTCAAATAAAAATTCGATGAATTAAGAATAAGCTTATTTTTTATTTTCAAAATTGAGTTTTTGTGAGGTTTTTGGAAGAGTAAATACATTGAAATCTGACAAATGAAGAATTTAATCTAGATTTTTTATCAGAGTCTTTTCATTGAATATAAACATCATAAAAAAATATCAATAAATAAAATTAAGATGTATAACTCGTACCAGTAAACAAACTGCTGAAGAGTTTTTTTGCTCTAGTGCAATATTGTGAAGGTTTGTCTCGCTATCTAAACACATTAACGTGTAAATGATTTTCTTCAGAATGTTTAGTGATTTTGCGCCTCTCGAGGAAGAGGGGGGGAAGCAGAGCCGTCACGAGCCCCACACAGTTTTCTCCAATCCTTCCTACTCGCAGATAGTATTTATAATGACCTAGCGCTACCCCATAAACGTTAGAATGGATATCATCTTTAAATAGTTATGCGGTGTTTTCTTGAATATCCAAAAAAACGTTGCATAACTATTAAAATATTCAATTTTTTTCCCGAAAAATTTATAAACATAATATGTATATTACTTTTATAATATTTATTCTGAAGGATAGGGGTAGCGCCAGGTCACTTTAAATACTCATCTCAAATCCAGAGGCTTGAAGACCATTTCGCGGGGCTCATGTCGTCCCTGTACCCCCTTCCTAACCTCACTAGTCCGTGCAATGAATATCCACTCAAAAATAAAAATTTCTTCACTAGGTGACTTGATTGACTTAGTTTATCATGGGCCGTGAGAGAGAATATTTTTCCCCCAGATACATGTAGCCTTTAAAAATCATTTCCGACAATCACTATTCCCTAAGTTTTAGAACTTTAAATCTAAAATTTATTTGTTATAGCAAAGGATTTTCATGAAATTAGAATGATCTCTAATTATTATATCAAAGTATTGAACTTTATATATCTCGACCGAAAAATTTTATTGCATAAACTCAACCTACAGTATTCTAGATGTTAAGAGCAGAACTTACCAGTCGATAAATTTCTTTATCACTGTATTCTGTATTTAGAATAATTTATCTACTTTGTTACACCTTTGTGGTCAAAATTTTACTATTTAAAGATGTGTTTTTTGATTCGAGTTTTGGAAGTTTTTTTAATTTATTGATTTGATCAAAACTACTAAAAAAAGATGATTTCTAAGTAAGAACTACTGATATGGGCTAAATAGGTGGCCTCTATTTTTAAAATTTCTCCGTGCTTGGATAGCTGAGGCAAGATTTATATGGATTAATGATATCTACAAAGGAAGTAGTTGAAAGTGAATTATGAATAATTCAAATCTAATAAAAATAGCTGCAAAAGGTTATTGGTCAAATAGCGAACAAAAAGTTAGAAGCTAGTTATACAAATATATTTATAATAGAAAATTAATATTTTTTTAAAAATTAAAATCTTCTGAAATTTGTATTAATGTATCCACGTGGAGTATCTGTATATATATGAATGTCTGGTTTTATTGTATAGAAGACTTTTAGTTGGAGCACCCGGTGTTGCCCAGGTTTATATTATTATGTTATAGTTACTCCCGCCAGTTACCCACGCTTGATATTAAATTATGGTTTTAGCTGAAGTATTCGGCGTTGCACGTTGAAATTTAAAAATTTCTAAAATATTTTAAAGTTTATGTCCCCTGCATAATACCCACGGGTTGCCTAAAAAAATTCAGCAACTTTGGTCAAGCAGTATATTTAAAAAATATCAGTGAAAAAGCAGCAATCTTCTTTTAACATAAATATATATAGGGGCAAAGAGCTTTCTTATATAGTAGCTGAAGTGCCCGGCGTTGCCCGTGGAACTTAAAAAAACATTTTGTTAGCCCATGTCACCCCTGGCTACCCATGAGTAGCCACAAACAGTTTTAGCCCACTCGGTCCAGCCGTTTGGCCGGCTATAGGGAACATATATGTATACATAGAGAATAGAATATAAATTAGAGGGGAATTTACTAGAAAAAAGTGTAAAACGGCAATTTTGTTGTACTGTTTCCATACTGAAGGCGTACTTCACATATTTATGCTATATAACCTTTTGGACCCTGGAATATCATTATATAGAAAATCTAAAATTAATGTTATAAAGAAAACCAAATTATGAAATAGTCTGGGTTTCATAATTGACCAATGATCATTTCAAATAGACTCTATCTATGCCTTTCACTTCACAAACGATGATTTTCCGTTATAACTATAAATCAAATGATGTTTTTTATTCACCTAATTCATTATAAAGTTTATTTAACAGCTTTAAAAAATTCGAAATTGAAATGAATAGTCTAGGGAACATACTGTATTAATGTACTCTACTGCATATAATTTGTGAACATTTAAATGATTTGTACACTTTGAACTCCCTTTCAGACTGAAAGGGACTGAAAAAATTCATACCTAGAGATTCTTTAAATTCCCCTCTAATATATATTCTATTCTCTATGTATGTATACGAATGTCTTGTTTTATTATATAGAATAAAATATTATACAGTGAGTTTTTTTAAAAACTATTACATAAAGTAAAAGTATCTGTAAAAAGGACAGAGTTTGCTCGAAAACTATATCCCGATCGTTAGTGCTATGGTCGGCACCTCCCGGCTCATCATGGCGAACAACTGGCTCAATCAAAGAGACACTCAGAAAACTTTAATTAATTTCCTAAAATGATCATCCTAGGGTTTACGTGTCTCGTACTTCATATGGAATATATTTTTTCTGAGAAAAACCAAAATTCAAAATATTAAATATTAAAAAACAATAATAAAGAAAACAATTTTGTAAAAATTAAGTTATAAATGAGCCAGTGCGTTGCCATGAAACACCTGGAAACTCAATATTTATCAAATTTTAGATTGCTTCCAGATGGGTAAAAAATACATGACTGGTTGTAACAGATCCACCTAAACAAATTGCATTAGTTTGTTTTTTTCAAAGTCCAAAAAAGTGCCTTTGTTAAAAGGAGCACTGGACCCTTTATGCATGGGTCCAGTGCACCTTGGCACCGAACCCACGCAGGGTACATTTACTTGTATTTAAACCTTTCATATAAAAAACATTAAGTCTGCTTCAGCCATTAATGATAAGATTATAAAAACTCGATCAAATTTAATTTTATTAAAGTCTTTACTATTATAAATTATGAAAGTTGATTATTCCATTGAATCCTTCAGCGAAATCATCTCCTCCATAAACTATTCTTAGAGTTGAGTATAATTCCACTTCTTTTGTTATTTTGATTTTCTGATTTTTATTGTGGAAAGTCAAATGAGTTTTAAAAGTTCTGAGAGAGCTCGGAACAGAAATTTTCTTATTTTTCGAAAAGTGCTTGATCTTTTTTCGATTGTTTATGAGACCTAGAATCTACCATCGATTTTATATTTCAGCTTGAAGATGAAGAATTTTATCAGTTTTGAAATAGCCCAGAATCAACATTTTCTTATACTTAGAATGAGATTTTGAATCTACCGTTGATTTTATATTTCAGCTTGAAGATGATCGAATTTTATCAGTTTTGAAATAGCCTAAAATCGTCATTTTCTTATAACTAGAATGAGATTTTGAATCTACCATTGATTTTATATTTCAGCTTGAAGATGATCGAATTTTATCAGTTTTAAAGGGAGTGTTAGCGAAAAATGAAAAGGGGTATAGGCTTAATGCGATAAAAAAGCGCTTTTGATCGCTTCTAATCCTACTTCTATCTGTTGCGTCTATAAGAAGAAAATTGTTAAAAACGACTAATACCGAAGAACGTAGTATCCACACAATTTCAGAAAGAGGCAACATACGACTTAGACCGTAAAAAAATCTATTTAATTTCGAACAAATCATTCAGATATTACACCCTATGGTCATCGATTATCCATCGTCACATTTTTATATAGTTGATTTTTCATAATATGTTTTGATTTTATTTCTTAAAATAACATTTAGCTTCCAACTTGTTTTCGAACATTCCTGGAAAGTATGAAAATGTCGTCTTCATTACCAAAAATCCTCGAAACAGGAATAAATGGTTTTATAAGTAACTCTCAGATCATAACAATTAAAACATATTATGAAAAATCAACTATATAAAAATGTGGCGAAAGATAATCGATGACCATAGGGTGTAGTATCTGAATGATTTTTTTGAAATTAAATAGATTTTTTTACGGTCTAAGTCGTATGTTGCATCTTTCTGAATTTGTATGGATACTATACGTTCTACGGTATTAGTCGTTTTTAACAATTCTCTCCTTTTAGACGCAACAGATAGAAGTAAGATTAGAAGCGATCAAAAGCGCTTTTTTATCGCATTTAGCCTATACCCCTTTCATTTTTCGCGAACACTCCCTTTAAAATAGCCTAAAATCGTCATTTTCTTATAACTGAAATGAGATTTTTAATCTACCCTTGATTTAATATTTTAGCTTGAAGATGAACGAATTTTATCAGTTTTAAAATAGCCTAAAATCGTAATTTTTACTCAAAATTAGATGTGTAGAAAATCAAAGGTAATCAATCATCCAACATTGACTTAAACTGTGTGTAGAATAACTTAAAAGGTATTTTTGTCTTCGGAGTGTGGGACCTGGACTGGCCGAATGGGTGGGCAAGACTAAGAGGATAGTCTTTAGAGGGATGACAAGGAGAATAAAGTGGGTCAGAGGTGGGTGGAGTAGGGGACCCCTGCAATTCTAATTTTAGCAGGAATCGTCAACAGTAATCTGATGGGTTACATGCCAAATTTTACAGGCCTTTCTTTGCATATGGATGAAAGAACAAGTACTTATAGCATAACAGCAAGGGTTGAAAAAAGCACAATGGGTTAAGTTTCCCAACTCCCATGGACTCAACATCCAAAAACCTCGACCAAAACCCTTTTTTAATAGAACCTGCGTAGTATTCTCAAGAAAAATGGTATCAGAATTAGACAACTATTAGTTAAAGAGTAAAATCCTGGCGGAGGCGAAAAATTTTTTGACTCAAAAGACTCAAAAAGAGTCAAAATTAATGACTAAAGACTAAAAATCTAGATTTTAACTTTTCACACATTATAGTTTATTAAGACAGATATTTTCCCGTCAGGACATTTGGAGGAAAGGTTATTCATGGTCTAAATTTGGGTTATAAAAAGAATTGTAACTTTTTCTTCACCTTAATCGTATACATGATAAAATGGTAAATTAAGACAACTTCTCATAATTATACAGTTCTCTCCAAAATAAAATGGTAAGTATTGACTACTTTTCAAAATATACACTACAGTGCTTCCCAAAATAAAATAATAATAATTGAAAACTTCTCAAAAATATACAGTGCTCCCCAAAATAAAATAATAAGCGTTGAAAACTTCTCTTAAATATACAGTGCTCCTCAAAATAATATGGTAAGCATAGACGACTTCTCTTAAATATTCAGTGCTCCCCAAAGTAATATGATGAATGATGACTATTTTTCATAAAAATACAGAGCTCACCAAAATAATAAGGTAAGCAAAGACGACTGCTCATAAACATACAGTGCTTTCCAAAATAAATCTTCTTTTCTCACTTTCTCTTTCTTCCTTTTTTCTCTTCTTATTTCTTCCTTCCATTTGCAGTAACATACAGTAATAAAATGGTGAAGTGAAGACGAATTTATTTAATATGCAATCTTTTTTCAAGAAGCACTTATATTTATGAATGGTAATCATCATTTACCATATTATTTTGGGGAGCACTGTATATTTATGAGCAGTTGTCTTTGCATACTATATTATTTTGGGGAGCACTGTTTATTTATGAAAAGTAGTTGTCTTTATTTACCATTTTATTATTTATGATTAAGGTGAAGAAAAAGCTACAATTCTTTTTATAACCTATATAACGATGTAATATATAATACAGCGAAGATATGATCTCCCACATTTAAACACTTCGATGTCGGTACCATGTAGTATATACTAAATCGAATTCTTTCTTTCCGATGTAGAATGTAGACATCGGTGAAACGTCCCCCAAGTAGAATGTAGACATCAGTGAGAAATAATCGCTTCAAATTATTACAACCGCGTATGCAGTCAAAACATAAACAAACAAAATGTGAACAGAGTGAACATAGCAGACGATTCTCTCTCTCTCTCTCTCTCTCTCTCCTGTCCGGTCCAAAGGCAGACTCGACTCGACTCTCGAGTTTAGTCAGTTCAGTACTAAGTTCACTGTTCAGTCAGTCCAGGTTGCTCAAATCAGATCAGTAAACCCAGCTTCAACCTTCAGTGAAACTGATCAGAGTAGTATCTCAATATTTTTTGAATGATTTGAAAAAGCTGATTTTTGAGGACTGAAATAGACCGAAGTTCAGTGAAATATCCTAATTTATATATAATATTACGCAGGTTTTTTCACCATTCTTTAAAAATGATATCACCCTGATCTGGACCTAGAAACCTGTTCTACTTGGCGTTTGTTTCCTTAGTTTTCAAGATAAAGATACACAGACTATGGTTGACACGGACACCTTGATACATCTAGTAGCAGGAGGGTATGTATTATCATTTTGAGCTACGTTTGTACCACGCGTTCCGGTTTTCTGTGGCTATACTTGTAGATGTAGGAACTTTCCGTTGTATGGTAAAAGTCAGCTGATCCAGTCAACAAATTATACGCAAATAAATGTTCTAAGCTGCCTGTCCAACAGAGGCGGCTTAAAGTGAAGGGGGGGGGGGGCGAGGGCCATCCCCCCTGGAAAAATAGGAGGAATGTTCCCCCTTCCTGACTGAACCTTCTATAGTCCTTTAAATTTTTTTTTTAAAGTTGAAAGCGGTGCCATTTAATCGTTACTCCAAATGAAGATTTTTCTTAACTAGGGTTACCCATGCAAAGGATGAGACTAAACAGAGACGATTGTACGGAATTTCTTTAGTCCGTTTTCTTGCATTGGGGTTCCTTGCTGTCCAAAACTTGTTGTTTTCCTTGCTTGATCTTTTAGTAAACCATCATAATACTTAATTAAATGTAGAAAATTTATAAACCAAGCTTCAAATTGTCACTTTTTTGGAGTTTTGGGTCGTCTTTACAGTCTCATTATTTGTGGGTAACCCTGTATATAAAAATCCAAGATTTATTAGCACATCTTCCTCAGCTTGCCATGGTCTTGACATAAAAATTACCAAATTTCCTGTATAGAATTCCAGGGGGATTTTTTATCAGGAGGATCATAAACTTTAGAGGTAAAAAGAGAAGAGGGGGGTACAAGGGAAAAATTAGTTATTTCCTAGAGAATGATTTCGTACCCCCTCGATCCTATCAGCTTTTTAATTAATCTTACATGACCAAAGTTTGATGCATGGTTGCAGCGTACAGCCCTCAAGCCTGTCCTATGCAGCGGCGCTCGTCCCCCTTGCATGTTCTAGCCACAGCGCTCGGCCCATTCATTTACTAAACCTAACCCAACCCTTTAGTAATAACAAAATTAATAATTTAATAATTATGTTAAAAATGCTTGAAATTGGGATTATGATACAGAATTGATAGGAATGGGTCGGAGTTTTAAAAATCGGAAACTCTACTATAGGACTGATCATAAACGTTATTTCATTTATTTTCTTCAAAAAACAGCTCTTTGGTTTAAAAACACACCTTTAAACCAATGCGATTTCACTTTAAACCTTACTGATCCTTGAATGGAAAACAAATTTCCTGCATAAAATAGTGAGAACAAAAATCTTGGAAAAATTATGTTTGAACAGCTTTTGAGTTGGGTTCTACTAGAAGAACTAGAATGCTGCTTCCATATAGCATCTAGAACTCAATTTTTGGAGCCCTTATTATTTATCACATTAATCAATCTTCAGTAAAGTGGAGGGTAGAGAAGGAATATTAAGTTCAGTTGACTTTGTGTCTGCAATTTTCCAATTAAATTGTTAAAATTTATTTTCAAAACATTTTTTTTTCAGAGTTGGTGGTACTACAGGAGCTATTCTAACATGCCCGCTGGAAGTAGTGAAAACTCGTCTTCAATCCTCCAACTCTGGGTTTGAAACTAGAATTCCTAATAATGGTACGGGTAGTGCCAAAACATCATCCGGGAAATCTTTGATTAACAAGTACTGGTCCAGGATTGATAAAGTGACCTGCAGGCCAATATTTGGCTCTCATTACAGAATTCACCTTTTAAGTGGAGGCAGTGGACACTTTGGATCCTCTTCTCCTCTTCTTTTCTCAACTCAATACCATCCTTATCAACCGGAGAAACCTAAGCTGAACGTTTTCTCCGGCCGAACTACTCAGCTAACACTCCCTTCAAGCATGAATGTACACACTGTGCCTAGTCCGAGTAAACCTAATAACACTCTAGGTGTCTGGGATTGCTTGAAGTAAGACAACTTATATGCATAAAAGTTCAGTTTATTTGATGGGTTTATTTCTTCCTTTAATAATGATAATAATAGTGAGTGACAAATAACAAATGTATAAAAATGTATCATGTATATATAGCTTTATAGACCTGATAAAGATATGTATTTTAAATTAAGTTTAATATACGTCTAGGGGTAATTACCACCTTTTCCCAAAAAGTTTTAGAAAAAAGAGTGAAAACTATTCTACATAAGAATGTTTCATTTTAATTTATTTTGATAAAAAATTAACAGTAATTAACGATTTAACCCTATTAAGGCACATTTGGCTTAATGAGGGTCCACGAGGCCTTTTCCGTGGATTGGGACCAAACCTGGTGGGCGTAGCCCCTTCTCGGGCCATCTACTTTTGGAGTTACTCAACCACCAAGCAGGCTGTGAACTCACGGTTACCTAAACCTAACCGGGATACTCCGTTTGTTCATGTTATTTCTGCTGCATCGGCAGGTATGGATAGGTTTATTTTTCAAGCTATAATAAACTCTATTTGAGCATTAACTTTTAAAGCTATTTATATGGGTCTGGTTGTTAAATCTAGAACAAAAAGCTAAATTTATAATAAAGATATCCAAGTATTTAAATTCTTTTATTTTCCATATTTGAATTAGTATACTAGACTGTTTACAAAACTATATTTCATTTAAACCCTTTATAATCAGGTTAGAAATATCGAGATTAAACATTGATTAATTTGATTCAACGCGACTATTTCACAAAATAGATATGACTTCGGGACCGTAGAAATCGTAGAGTTCTAGAGTTATATTTAATTTTTAATTAAGAAGTTTTCATTTTTCACAAAGAAAATGGGGTACTAAAAATTGCAAGCGTTGATTACCTCTTTTTTGATTATTTTTCCTTGAATACTTTTATTTTCCACTACTTAAATAAATGCAGTAATGAAAAGCCTGTGCGTAAACATACCTCAATTAATATCGGGGTTCGGTTAGACTGAGGCGAACCAATTTTCATTTGTTCTTAGGATTTGTGTCTTCCTGTGCTACGAACCCCATCTGGTTGGTAAAGACTAGACTGCAGCTGGACCGGTCAGAGGGTGGATTCTTCTCTGTGATTAAAAATATTCATGCTGAACAGGTGATACTTTTTTTTGTTATCTTTTGAAACAACACAAAACTCTGATAAACTAAGATTAAGCAGATTAGCCATGTTTAATGTGTAAATTCATACGGGAAAAATCGGTTTTTTTTCAGTTGGGCAGGGACGAAATTTTCTATTTATTGAGGGGGGGGGGGTGACGGAGTTCGTTAAATTTTTAATTTTGATAAAAATACCTTTTGTTGGCACATGTAAAAGACTGTTTAATACACAAGACATATTAGATTTCGTTTTTTTCGCTTAATATTAATGTATTTGAATTTTGACGCCGAAGCTGCGAATCTATGCAGAAATCCTATGACCTTGATTGAAGATATTTATACACATACTTATACTTATATATTTATATACGCTTTTTTTAAGTATTCAAAATGTTTATTTTTAACTGAGATTAGTTACAAACAAGCCTTTAAACGAACCGTTAATCCGAACCGTGAAAACGAATTTCACTCAATAAACTGAGTGTTAATTTATATTCGAACTACAGGTAGCCAAGAAAACTTCTTCGTATTTGAAAACCTAATTCCGTTGCAGGGGCGTATAATAAGGATTTTCTGGGGGTTGGGGGGTAAGTTTTAACATTAGCGATTTCTTTCCCCCCCCCCCCCCCCCAAAGACCATGTACAACCTCATTGATGATGTATATCAAATTATGGGTTTTAGCTGGGTTTAATTTCAATTTTCCAATAATTTCTGGGATTAACAAACTCTATAAAAGCTTCCTTTACCACCTTCTTAATTTATACCCTAAGATTGTCCATTATAAATTGAGACTTTTTAAACAGCTTATGAATAAATTTAAAACTTGCTTTTTTACTTCTGAAAATTTAATTCTAAATAACTTTGATCTTTAAACTTTTTATCCCCCTCCCCCCCCCCCCCCTCCAGAAGAGCTTTAAACCTAATTTGACATAAAATTGCAAATACGCTACTGCATTAAAAAATTATCTGCGCGAAGACACCAGTTCTCGTTAGATCACTGAAGTTAAGCACACTTGTCCACAGCTAGTAACTGGATTGGTGTCCAGACTGGTGTTCACGGGTTAGATTCCCGTACTCCACACACACCTGTGGGTTCAAAAACATCTGGTTAAGCAGCTATGACCACCACCTGACGGATGTAGGAGGGCTGTCAACACGAAAGAGAGCGTGCTTTCTACTCAACATGAAAGAAGCTTGAAATGGATTGATCCAAGTGAATGATGATGAATAGGGGAATGGTGGACAAGCAGGGAGAGTCTATAGTTGCCAGCTATAGGTACCTGGGGGGTATCCAATCCGGGCCTACAAACGCTTGGGAGCAATGAGTGTGATGTTTCCTATCTGTTTTGCACCCGGGCCTCATTCCAGTATATCAGAAGAATTCCTGCACTCTATATTCTTAGGCCTAAGAAGCCCTTAAGCAGCTGGAATCTTGTCAACCCTCTTCTCAGAATGAATGAAGCGTGGATGGATGAATGTGCAGCCAAAATTACCCCTGGTAGATCAATATAAACCCAGACAACACCAACTTTCGCAATAGAATAATTCCGAGATTTGATCGTAACAACCCGATCATGTCCTGGGGACAAAAAAATCTCTTTAAAAAGTTTTATGTTACAAAGCGAAGATACTTACAGATAGAGCCCCAATTAAACGATGAAATGGAAGATGGGCTTCAAAGCGCCCTAGCTAGTATAATAAATAATAATTGAGGTTTCCACGAATCAGTCAATTCTCTTGCGCAACAGTTGCGTGGTTTTGCACGAAATGTCATTTTTTGCACGAAATTCCGCATCATTTACGTATCAATACGAAACCAGTTCTGCACGAAATTGCACATTCATTCGAAATAATTTTTATTGCACGAAATTTCGCATGAATACGAAATTTAAGTCAGAATTTTTTCATGATATTGCGCATGAATACAGGTCATTTTTGCATAATTTTGCACTCCCCATGAATACGAAAAATTTAAATTTTTGTACAGCAGTAATGTGCATGAAAACGAAATTAAGGAAATATTTGTTGCATCCATATAGTCCATATAGTGCATAAATATGAAAGACTTTAATATTTTGACAGTATGGTGTGAATTATGTTTCAGTAAAAAACAACTTCCATCTTACCCTGCTCGTCTTCAAGTTGATACCGGACTGATGATAAGTGAATGTGATTATTATTAATTAATTCGTGAGTTATTCAGTTACTATTAATTATTAACAAAATTTTACACATTAAGAAAACTCGATCCCTTCCATCTTCTCTATTTCGCGAAAATAAAACAAATGGAGCTCATATTTTTAAGTGTCAAAACTGAAGGATATTCAGGGATGTATAGGGATCTAGAATCCCCTCCCGCCAGGCCTTTTATCTTAAAAAAATATACTTCTAATTTTAAAAATATATTTATATATAATTCTAACTTTAAAAAAATCATTTATGTCCCTTACATTCATTTTCCACAAAATTTTAATCCTAAAACATTTCTTAAAAAACTGGTAGAAAACAAATGATATTTTATTTGTTTAGGGTAAGTAAAAAAAATGTGATTAACGGCGTCTGGTACAAAATTGTAACGTTAAATATTTCCTAAAAAATTCGCTAAACTTTGTTGCCTTCAGACTCAAAAATTCAGAAAAGCAAAAATGTGTATTATATATTTGTGTCAAATTCTAAACTTATCAAGATTGAATCACGGGATCAAAGAAAATTCGTTTAACTGTAAATAGAAAATTCACAATTATCAGCTCTGGTCTAGCTTCGGACCCTGGTGAAAGTGAATATTAAAACTGATAACATTAGAATTGTACAAAGATACATTTTTGCACCAGACACCGCTAATCAAACTTTTTTTTACTTATCCTTTATATAGAAAAGTGAGTTAACAATATAGTGGTTAAATTTACAGGAAATAAGTTCTACAATAAATATTCGAGCTGAAGTGATCATGTAAGTTAGGTTTTCTAGCATTGGGTCTAAACTGACATGATGAAACTTATAATTATATCACAAGTTTTCTAATTTAACTTTAATTCAGGGTATTGCTGGTTTCTGGAAAGGAGTAACTGCGTCGTGGTGGGGAATAAGTGAAACGATGATTCATTTCGTCATCTACGAGTTTCTCAAGAAAACCCTGGACGAGCAAAGAAGGAGGAGAAAAGATCAAGAAAAAACTATGGAGGATTTCGTCGGATTTATGTTATGTGGAGCAACATCTAAAACCTGTGCAACATGTGTTGCATATCCACATGGTTAGTTATTACAATTTAAGAGTTCCAGAAACCGTTCAAACAACTGAAACTTTTTCCACGTCAATAACTATTTGCTCGTATTTAGAAGTTGCCAGAACTCGCATGCGTGAGTCAGGAAAGAAGTACAGATCTTTTTGGCAGACTCTGGTTTTAGTGAACAGGGAAGAGGGCCGGCAAGGGTTGTATAGAGGTCTTGGTACTCAGCTTTTAAGACAGATACCCAACACAGCCATTATGATGGCAACATATGAGCTCACGGTCATTGTTCTCACCAACTATGTGCGGTTAGTATTAGTAAATATTCAATTTATAATACAAAACATGTACTACGTTATCCTTTGGTTTTCTATTTACATGATCTTTTTGGGTGTTTTTATATAGTCTAATAATACTTCAAACATTAGTACAGAAAATATGGTTAAAAATGTTCAACTTTCTCCTTCTCTCTTTCAGTTAGTAAATCTACAAAATCTTGGTTGTGAAATACACAATTTGTATAAAGTGTAAATTTGTAAGTGGTACCTAGTTCTTTTCTTAAACATGTAATTAATCCCTTTATTATTGCAGGGAAAGACGTTCTAAAGAGATGAATCTACAGCAGATCTCCAGCAATAATCGCCAATAATTTAAACTTGTGCACATTCACATATACATACACAACTTGGCCAAAAATTTTCATATGGATAGATTTGCTGCAATTGGCTGGGAATTGTAATTTGTAAAATGAAAATTCATTCGTGGTAATTCATCTTATTACAGAAGAATTCACATTTATTTGAAATTAAAAATTCATCAGAATTCTATTTAGTTTTTTTAAGTAGAAGCAAAAGTGTGTATTTGTGAACCATTGTTTGTGATAAATGATATTAAAAATAGCTGTTGATATATTCTTATATTTTATAGTGATTGAAACATAGGAGTTGTAATGTTTCTTAAGTAAAGCTTTCATTTTTCTATCGTACCATTCTAAGATGCATTGTTAATGTTTTACTGAAACAGTAATATAAAGTTTTAAGTTTCTTCTTTATATTTATGTAGGTAGGTTAGCTACAGTTAAAATTCGACTGCTTCTAGGTGGTCCTAGTATTGGATGTTATTGCAATTACTAGAGATGTTCTTCCTCTGTGCGACGCGATGAGTCCGAATTTTATAAATACTGTCTGATTTGAAAAGTTATTTAATATAAACATTACGGTTATTCAGGTTGAGCTCCGATTAATTTGTCGATAATGTTTTTATTTGTATTTGCATGATAATAAATTTGATGCTTTAGGGGTAAAAATAAGTTTGATAATCAACCATGAAAGAGGATAGCTGCTTTTATCAACCATGAAAGTGGATAGCTGCTTTAATCAACCATGAAAGAGGATAGCTGCTTTAATCAACTATGAAAGAGGATAGCTGCTTTAATCAACCATGAAAGAGGATAGCTGCTTTAATCAATCATGAAAGAGGATAGCTGCATTAATCAATCATGAAAGAGGATAGCTGCTTTAATCAACCATGAAAGTGGATAGCTGTTTTAATCAACCATGAAAGAGGATAGCTGCTTTAATCAACTATGAAAGAGGATAGCTGCTTTAATCAACCATGAAAGAGGATAGCTGCTTTAATCCACCATGAAAGAGGATAGCTGCTTTAATCAACCATGAAAGAGGAAAGCTGCTTTAATCAACCATGAAAGAGGATAGCTGCTTTAATCAACCATGAAAGAGGAAAGCTGCTTTAATTAACCATGAGGAAAGCTGCCTTGTCTTTTCTTTGGCTTTTGGATACATTTTGATGACTGGAAGCGTTGACTCCTGTTTCATTAAAGGATGAGGTGTCATAAAATAACAAAAATGTTCTATTCCGGGGTTAAAAACCAAAGTTTTTTTGTGAGAATTTTTATTTTAGTCCATTTAGAACGAGATAAATCTTCGTGAGAAACATTTAATCTTTTTTAGCCTAGATCTCTCAGAAATATAAAACGATATTTTAAACATTAAAACATTAGGTACAGAGTGTTCCAAAAAACATGGGAATTCAGTGACGAATTGGATATCGTCTTTGTTATGAAATAGCATTGTAATACCTCATTTCAAAAGCCATAATATTATTATGTCTGCTAGAGTTTATTTATGAAAAGGGTAAAAGACTGTAAAGATGTGTCTATAATGTCTCCGCAAGATGAATAGTGAAGACGGACAAGTTTGTATACTGCAATTTTCTTGTTTTTCTAAGTACAACCGTATGCAGTCAAAACATAAACAAACAAAATGTGAACATAGCAGACGAACCTCTTACAGAATACAACTTTCTCAGTAGGTATCACTACACTAAATCAAAGAATTATTTAAAAAGACGATATCGAATTCGTCACTGAATTCCCATGTTTTTGGGACACCCTGTACCTCCCTGGAAAATTGATAAACTGAATAAAATGTGATGAGAATTAGATGATGTGTAAAATTTGCTAACTAAAATGTAGGGGATTGATTCACATTCTTTCTAGTGTTTCTGATCCTATAAAAAAACTCTGGCGCGTGTCTATACATAAATTTTTTCCACCCTGTCTTCACTTTAAATAACAAAACAATCAAATGTTTCACAAGAATTAAAAAATTTACCTCATAACAAAAGGTTTCCCCGATTATCTATGGGGAAGTTCTAAAGTATAATTTAGAAACACAATTTATATATTTTTAGGAAATTTTGCAAAGGTTTTAACAGACTATTTAATAAACGTGTTATGGGTCATTTGCTTTCAAATACTGAGTATTTTTTGATTCAATTATTTTTATTTGGCAAGATAATATTAATATGTAAAAAATTTTAAATTGTTAACAATATACGTTTATAGCAATAACTTAATAAAAAATGGTATTTTTTTTTTTGAAAAAATAAAATGAAAAAATTAGTGGTGGAGAATGTTAAAGAATTAATATCGGCTAGATTTTTGTTGTCTGCCACTATGAATGCTTCAGCTGGAGGCGCAACCGAGGAGGGGGGCCTAAGGTGGTTTTGGCAAGATCTATAAAAATTAGTAACGCTCATTTAAACATTTAAGACCATATTATCCTTTATTTTTTCTTTGTATACATAACAACACAGGCAACCGAATTTGTCCAAATTTCTAATGTCTTCGATATTCTTTTTTTAGGAGACCACACTTCGAATAGCAGGGTCGTTTTACAGAAGATTTACCATTTAATCAAATATAAATAAATATTTTATTATCATGTTTATTGTAGTCAAAATTAATAAATAGAAAATAAAAGCATGTGGATGAAATGTAGATATTTTAATATTAAAAAATACATTATTACATTTTTTACATAAAATAGTAAAAAATGGTTTATTTTTCTGTAAAAAAACAGAACACAGTGTGTCCCAATAAACATGGGAATTAATTAACGACTTCTATATAGTTTTTGCGTAAATAAGATTTTGTAGTCAGTTAAAACGTTCAACACCGAAAACCACTAGACTTGGGATTTCCAAAATGTGGTCTACCAATTTTTCACCTTCCAAATTGACGGAGTTATTAAGATATTTGCCGAAATTCGCGTTTATTAAAAATCTAGAAAACTGTTCAAATGTTCAATATCTCCGCAAAATTGAAAGATACAATGAAGGTAGACCACACTTTGGAATTCTTATTAGAAGTTCAATCTTTTTTTTTGATGCATTTTATGTCATTTATCAATTATCGGAAATCAAATTGACGATATTCAAGTCGTCTCTCAATTTGCATGTTTAATGGGACACCCTGTAGTTTGCAGAGAATAAAAAGGTCCTCTTCATTTATTTTTTTGAACTACTTCTTTTTAGTCCTTTCTTGGATTTCTGAGTTAGGTGCCTCTGGTTTTGCAACCCTTGGTAAATAGCTCTGAGTTACCTAAATAAAATAAAAAATCGTTATCAATTATTTGTTTAAAAAGAAAGAAAATACAATGTTTTGTTTTTACCGATATTCACAATTAGTTGATGAGTTTGACAGTCGCGACAAAAAAAACAAAAAAATTGAAAAATTTCACTTAACGAAAGCAAGACGTATCTAAAATACATTATTTTAAAAAAATGGTTCACTGTACCACTGCACGTTGTACAATGTACATACTTGTCTCGCTATGCAGACTGCTAAGATGATTGGTGTAAAGAACATTATCCTCCAGAAGTAACCTTCCACCCTTCTCCGAACCCAGTTTGAGTAGCAGGCAAGACTGATCGCACTCATTCCGAGACAAAAAACTAAAAGTAGAAGTTTGGTTACTCTCCTCCTTGTAATTTAACTTTATTGATCAGATTATAAAAATGGTAAATTAATTTTAATAAAATGTAGAGATAAAGAATGTTAATCCCTTCCCGAAAATATTATGCTAATCTTTACCATATGCAGTTGGTTTTTAAAAAACTTTTGATTGATTTATTATAACATGTGCTTTTTTGTATACATACCTATGAGACCAAAAGTTGCATGATAAAGTTTAATATTGATCGGCTTCATTATACTTCTTAAACTAGAACTGTATTTAGCACCTAGCCCCCACAGTGCGGTGATCATTGTTCCAATGACCGCCGCCAGTCCAAACCTTCCATGCCAGGTTGTAAAGTGGTTCTTCCCAGCAATCTCTTTGTTTAAGTATATTGCCAAAAATCCTCCCATCGTTCCGAAAAAGGCAAACAGGTTCAGAATCCTTAAGTGACAAGTATTTTAGTTTTAGTAGAATGCTCTAATGATAATATGTTCGCTTAATACTTACCAGTGCAATTGAATTTTATCGCTTCGGGCCGAGTTCAGAAGCAGAGAACTTTCGGGTGAGAATAAGACTATTGCCTAATTATGAATTGATGAAACAACTTTTACAAAATACAAATTTGTACTCTCTTCTGCGCAGAGGTGAACGCTTATTTATGTTGTTTTTAACCTATAGGCAATTCAATATTTGAAAAATTGATTTTTCACCTTTAAGATATTAAGGATTATTAGGAAACAGTAGCAAGACATCACTAAGATTTTAATTACAACTTAAATAAATTCAGTGATAAATTAACTAATTAAACCATCATGAAAAATTTCTGTTCGTGTGCAAATAAAATATATAAAATCCAACCTGTGATAAAAGTAGAGCAAATGCTACTGTCATCAGAGAAGGATGCCAAGAGAATAAGTCTGTTCCAGGGGCACTCAGGTAGAGAACAAAAGCTGTCAGCCCTAGGCTTATAATATGGACTACCATGACTGGTTGACAATGGTGTTGCTCTCCTGAAGTAATAATCTTAAGTTGCGGAGAAAGACTATAAAGACTAAGAGTGCCATAAACCGATAATGAAAGACTAAAGACTAAAAGAGTGTCATAAACCGATAATTAAAGGTATAATTTTACTAGGTACCTTTTAATCACAGATTTATGTAAGATATCAGAGACGGTAAATTCTTTAGTATATGTAAGTTTTCTTCGCAAGTATTTTAATATCGTTTAACCTCTCTCCCATTAACCCCCGTGGGCATAGTCCCGAGTTCACATCAAAAGTATCGTGCAAATACACCTATTAAGGATTAAAATATACTTAAGTTGTAAAAATAAAACAACAACTTCTCGATTGTCATATCTGTACGTTAATATATACATATCTCTGGAATTCTTATTCACTCTTCCTTGATGTCCACGAGTGGTATCTAGGAGTCAGCATATCATATTAAAACGGTTATAAAGATTAAAGGGGCCTCTAGTGAGAGTAGTGATAAGTGAATAGATAATGCTGGTAAAGGATCACTTGAAATTACTATGGTCTATGGCAGATTCAGTATTTTATTTGGACTAAAACTTTGCTTTCTGTTTTGAGAAGTGTGTTATAATGTCAATATTAGAAAACTGTCTCCCACTTTCTTTTCTCTNTCTAAAAATAATTATAGTTAAATAAGCAATTATAATATAGCTTGCCCCCCCCCCCGGCTACCATACTCTCCATTAATTGCACTCTTGTATTAGACGATCACATTCGTCATTCACTCTATATATAGTAATAGTAAAGAACTATATTTACATTCCGCTGGGCCCAAATTTCTAACCAAACGTCTCAAATTTCAGGAAACATTGCCATCCTTAATCCCCAAAATAAAAATGTTTTCTAAATTTTAATCCAACGACCTCTACAGTCTACACTCTCTCTACAGTAAATACATAAATTAGTTTTTAACTCCGAAACTTTTCTTTATTTATCTAATTAAATGCCTAAACTCTAAGTTTATAAAAGCATACCTTAAGTATAAACATCAGTTAACAGAAATCGCTAAACATCGATTCTTAAAGACAACCTAATACTATAACAGATCGTTACACGTTGGGAGCAGCAAACATAATTCAATATTTTCTCTGGAGTTTCACTAAGAGTAGGGCAGAACTGTACTAGAGACAGGACGGTTCTGGATGGCAGGTTGAAGACTGTATAGAGAAAAGAAAGGAGCCAGGACGGATATAACGGAAACCTTCAGACCAGAGACCGGATCATACATACAGAGTAAATTCCCAGAGATAAACACAACACAGTACACACAATATTGAGTTTGAATCTTCCCACAATATAAACGTTCGTACGTACAATACAATTTTATTAAGAACATGTACGTACGAGTATAATTTAATTGTAGAATAAGAAAAGGTTGAACAACCAAGTTGTACGCATATATTTACATTTACAGTGTTTTTTTTATTTAACTGATATCTTTGTATTTGGAATTGGACGCTATTTTGATTTTTAATCTGAAATTATGCTTTTTTTTGTTTCCAATTGAAGCTGGGACCGGAAAGGCCTAGTTGTGCCTCTTGTCCCTTAAGGGTAAAGCATTTCAGCGCAGGATATGTCAATTTCTGCAAGTGTTCCACGATTTTTGAAATTCAATTTCCGGCCAAGCATGACGCATGTTATGATGTTGTTTATAAATGTTTAATTTTCAGTAAAATATCTAGACTTTTTTAATTTAAAACTGCTAACATATTTTATACTCAGGCTCACGTGATGAATAATATTTGTCTATATAAGATTTATCTTAGTTTAATTTCACTCTTTGAATGAAACTGGAAAACTATAGAAAAATATTTTTTTTAATCTTAAATTATTTAATTTCGTGCTTTTGGTGAGTTACTCTTTCCTTGTCCAATTACATCCACGCAATTTTTTTTAAAAATAATCTCAACATGATAAAATAGTTTTTAATGATACAGGTTGTCTCAGTAAACATGGAAATTGAGAAACGACTTGAATATCGTCTTTGATTTCCAATAATTGATAAATGACATGAAGTGCATAAAAAAATTGAAAGTTTAACGAACTTTCCAAAATGTGGTCTACCTTCTTTATATCTTTCTAATTGACCGAGATATAAAACATTTGAACAATTTTGTTGATGTTTAACTAACTAGATTCTGGACAAATTACCTAATATCTCAGTTAAATTTTAAGGTGAAAAAATGGTTGACCACATTTTGGAAATCCCGAGAATAATAGTTTTCAGTGTTAAATGTTTTAACTGTGATGCTGCAAAACAATGTTTATATAATAATCCCGCATAAAATAAAGATGATATAGAAGTCGTCATTTTATTCCCATGTTTTGAATAGTCTATTTTAATTGAGATTAAGACTTCTATTTTTATTTTCAAAATTTCACAAATTTCTTAACTTTATATAAAGATAGGGAAATTAGTTATATTATTCTACAGGTGTATCTTATAAAATCAAACTATATTAGCACCAATTCACAAAACAAAATAGTTTTGTGAAATACTTCAATTTGTGCTTTTAATGTATGCTTCGTGTATCATTTCACAAGAAAACAAATTAAGATCGATTGAATTAATTTTTGAACTTTGTGGATTAAACGATTCTTTAAGCTTTTGCGGATTCTGCTACAAAGAGATATATTTTTATTTTTGGTTGGTTAATAAGTCATAAAGGGTGAATAAAAATAAATATAGCAAGCAGAGGCTTGGAGACGGTTTTAAAGAGCTTGGGCCTTGGAGATGATTTTGCGTATCTGTAGTCTCTGGACTTGGAGGATACTGTTACATCGTCTATACGCAACATCCCCCTTACTGAACTTCCGACCTACTGCAATATTGGACCTACGCCAGCTGTTTATTTTTGTATTATCTGAGGGTCCTGAGGGTTAGGTTAAGACGATTTCTGGGCGAAGCGCTTCGGCTAGGACAGGCCAGGGGGCCGAGCGCCGCGGCTAGGGGGCCGGTCGCTGCGGCCACAAGTCCATATTGCAGCTGTAAAAACATATGCTAGTAGGTAGGATGTGTAGTATAGCCGATTTGCGTAGGTCGAAAAATACACCACCCTCTGAGGCTCATGGCGGCTCTACACCCCCTCCCTCATATTGTATTTGTGATTGTATTTCTTTGAGGGTGGTTAATTGTAAATAATTAAATATTATTATTTCCTTATGCTTATGTTTGCTCAAAACATTTTAAAAGAGAAAATTGTTTAGAGAAAAAGGCCTATATTTTGAAGAAATGGACTTCTTTTCAAAATGCTTCCGTTATTTGACTGTGTTATAATTATGAAAGATTTATTACGCGACATTTTTATCCATGGTACATAGATTAAGGGAAGCACTTTTNAGGCTCGCTTTCCCTCTTGTCCATTAATAAATTTGTAAAGTTAACTCCTTTTCCTTTTCGCTGTTCCTCACAAACTATTTAGTCTTGGTTGATGATCTCCATGAATGTCTAACCTTCCTTGACGAGGTCAACAACATTTTTGAAAATATTCAAAATATTCATGCTCTCAAGCTCAAATTATCAAATTCTTTAAACTTTAATTCGAATTTAATTCATTCAATAAACTAGAAGAACTAAGATGTGGAAATATCCATTAATCTCACGTTTTCTCCAACAAAGGAGAGTTCAACTCGTCATATTTTCTAGAGAGAGTTAATTTTTCAAAAATATAAAATGATAATTATTATTATTATAATTATTGCAAGTATTGAATTAGCGATGAAAAAAATGCATTTTCAGACCAATACATGTGATATAGAATTTACATACATACATGGGAGATATTGTTTAAACCTATTTAGTAAATCACAATAGAATAACGTCACTACCAAAGAATTTCTTGGTTCTTAGTTTTATCAATGACATAGGATGTAAAACGCTTAAGAAATCTTGGATACTCCCGTTTGTACACAGCTCTTAGAACAGTAGCTGGGGCCCATCCCCCTGGGTTTACAACGGAACAGTAAGTAATTCTAAAAATAATTATAGTTAAATAAGCAATTATAATATAGCTTGAAAATAAAGGTTTTATGAAGAAATGTGCAGTGGGACATTTAAATTCTGATTGAAGATCGATTTCAAAACCCGTCTTGATAATACATAAACCCGTCTTGATAATACGTAAACCGTCTTGATAATACGTAAACCGTCTTGATAATATGTAAAATTGTGTGAATTTAATACTTCGTTCAACTGATGGGCAATTCTATTCAAGGCCATTTTTTTAAATTGAAATTTAAAAACCCTTAAATCAAAATGTTTTGCTCAACATTTAAATGTAGCAAAATTTACAAAACACTCCTGAGCTGAAAACTTTTGTTTTGGAAACCCTTTATACCGATATCTTTTGAATATCCCTCCTGGTGTCCGAACAAAAAATTTATCGGTTTCCGATTGGCTGTTTGGTTTCTGCAATCGACACTCTGCAGATTAATAAAAAGAGTATATCAAGCATTGACCTTCGACATCCACAATTCTCAAGTTTTCAGCTCTGGTTAAAAAAAAAATCAGAACAAGATAAAAAAATGGAGATTCAAGCTAGTTCCTTCCCTAAAAGAAAGATACTTGAAAATAATCCAATTAGACTTAAATGAACAAAAATTAGGTTGACAGAATTATCCCAATGGTTTAGTTCAGTTCAGACCTTGTAATGCCTCCTTTTGTCTGACCTATATTTGTTTCTTTTTTTTTTTGGACCAGTTCTACAATTTGATTACATACATGATTGAAAGCTGTACCTAAGATTCAAGAGTCTGATATTTCTTTGATCTAATTTTTGGTCAGACAACGTTTAAACACTATTTAGCCGGAATTACGATTTGTAACTAAACTAATCAATTAATCAAAAATATTTCTTTCCAAATTTTTGCTCGTTTTTTATTACATTGTAACTACTTATACAAATATATCTTGATCATTTTTTTATTGATTAAACTTTTTTAAGCAATGAAGGAATGAAAAATCTAAAAAATCTGAGTTTTCATCAATTAGTCAATTTTTCTTAAAATTGCATAAATACTTATTTTAATAAAATAGCTCCCGAGTCATCTGGAGGAGTTCCTAACGATATCCAGTTAACAGAATCACGGCCCTCTTATTGAAATTATTGTAATCTATCCATCTGTCTATACTGGGTGAGTGTAAAAATTATTTTGTTGGACGGCTCTACATATGTCATAGCTAAGTGGTCCCTGAATTTTGAGGAAATTTTTTTAATCTCTGCATAATGTACCAATAGGTTTCAGTCGCGACAAATTTTTATTAATTAAAAAAAAAGTGTACTATCAGTGTTCAAAGTGAAGTTCATGGTCCAAAACGGATAGGAGCTTAGTAAATTGTGGGCCCTGAAGTGAGAAGAAATAAGATATTTAAGCTAATATCTTTTAAACATAACATTGCCTCCCAAGAAATGAGTAACATCAAATACTCCTTATTTTGGGATTTCCAAAATATGGTCTGCCGTTGACCATTGCTCCAAAATTGATCGAGATATTGAAAAATTCGTCCAAATTTTTTATGATAAATAAAACAGAGATAGTGCAAATATCTTACAACACTGGCAGATTTTATGATGCAAAAAAGGATGCTAAATTTTACATAGATTTAAGAGTTGCAACATTTTTCTAAACTATTTTGACAACTATCAAGTTAACAAAAATTAAGGACCAACAGCTAGTCCAAAGTCAACTGCCTGCCATAAAACTTAAGTACTGCATCGAGCTAATAACACTTAAATTCGTCTATGCTTCATAAATTCTATTATTATATCTGTAGACAGAATAATTGGGATAATACGATCAACCTAATTTTTGTTCCAGCTAAGTAAGCAATTACAGGACCGTATTTATTTCATTTACCTGCAAATCAGGTTTTCTCTCTTGTTTTTGTCCTTCCCAGGCAGAACAACGGTTTGGCAGAGAAAGCAGACGGTTAGGTCTACCCGGAGACAGCCTCCAGTACCGATCGGTGCAGCAGGATGCTCGCAACTTTTGTTACAAACAATCCAAGAGTCTATGACGTCAGGATCGGTAGGTACAACTTTTTGAATGTGAGACCAAAAAAGTGCGTCTCTCTGAGCAGCAGGCCAGATGCGCTTATGCACCTGCAGAAAAATAAGAGTATCCTGACTGATCTCTTCAAGAACTGACATTGTCTCAATTGTGTGCTCCCACTCACATCGGACATCTAGATGATAAAAAATGAAACTAAAATTAGAAATTTGACAGACGACGTGATTAAAAAATAGCAACTATAAAAATATAATGTTCAATAAAAATTTAGAGGAAATCAGACCATATT